ACTATCTTTCTAATAAAAAAAGGATTATTGAAAACGGTTCACGTGGTCCAAAGTTATGTATTCCGACGAGATGATAACCTCCCTTTTTTTTGAAGTCGGTTAAAAGCGTTTGAGTTCTGTTAACCTGTAAATAAAGTGCAGTTTATGAATTTTAAAAGGTTTATTTATTTATTACATGCTGTACATAAAACTTGCATAAATGTATTTTAAAGGGGGTATTATCTGAAGCAAATTTTCAGTATTTTCCGGTGATATATCTTCAGAAATATAAAACCCCCCCTAAAATATAGTCCTGGGTGCGCCCCTGGAAGGCACATTTGGAAAATACATCGAAACGATCTAAATCTTTCTATAACTGCTAGTCCTTATAAAATTACATATACCTGTAAAATGCTTCAAAAAATATGTCTCTAGAAGTGTGTAAAAACCCTGATTTACTACTTTTAATGATGCTCCTTCTTTTAGTCAGAATATTTCGAGAGTGGTATCAAAAGAACTGTTTTTCGACAAATGTTCTGATAGTTGCTCTTATTTAATTGGAGCCTTCTAAATTCATTGGCATCCTCAGTTTTACCCTATTGGCTCTACTTTTCGAGATAGCGGTACTTGAAACTTTGCTTAGATTTTAACTATTTTATAAAAAAAAAGTCCTTGGGTTTTGAAGATATTTTACTAAAATTTTGTCCATAACCGTTTTTTAATATTACCTTAACTATTCCATAAAATCATCGAAATAGATTCACTAAAACATATAGCTCCCCTACAACTGATTGATCAGAGACGTTGTTTTGCGTTATAACTCCTCCAATTAAGCAAGGATAAATTTAGTATAGGGTCACTTTAACATATAGCACGCATACAATTTATTATTCAGATATGAAGTTAGAGTTATAGCGCAAAAACACATATCTGAGTAATCAGTTGTATTGGAGCTATATGTTAATGTAAACCTATTTCGATAATTTTAAGAAATAATTAAGGTAATACTAAAAAACTGTTATGTGCAAAGTTTTAGTAAAATAACTTCAAAACTGAGGGAGTTATTTATAAAATAGCTAAAATTTAATCACATTTTCAAGTACCGCTATCTCGAAACCCGCAGTCAATCTTTTTACCAGGGCATGCCATTGAACTCAGAATGTCCCAATTAAGTGAGTTCAACTTTCAAAATCTTTACTCACAGTTTACAAGTTTTATTTTCTATTTCATGTTTATTCCTCGTCTGACTTTTGAAGCACTTGATGAAAATGAATTCCACTTATATTAATCGATTTATTAAGAAATTACCACTAAAATGATATATAAAACATAGGTGTGCTCACAAATTTGAAAATTAAAATTTTTTTTTGAAAGTGTACCTATTTTTTAGATTTGCCCATAAAGAGGAACAAAAATTTAAATAATAACAATGGTGGGGGTGAATATGTAAATGAAGAAAAGAATGGACATATTAAGATCACGATAAAGGAAAAAATAAAGATGAAGAAGAAGATGAAGACCAAGACGAGGAAGAAGACGAAGATGAAGATGACGATGAAGATGAAGATGAAGATGAAGATGAAGATGAAGAAAGGACAAAGATCATAGCCCCTTCACTTAACTTAACTCACCTCAACTCATCTCACCTCCGCTTAAAAACTTACTCCACCTGAGCTCACTACATATTAATTCACCACTACTTAGCTCCCCACACCTAAATCCACCACTACTTCACTCCCCACACCCAAATCCAACACACAATTAATTCACCACACCTTAACTCACCACGCCTTAACTCACCACACCTTAACTCTCCACACCTAATCCACCACACCTAAATTCACCACTCCTCAACTTTCTCACCACACCTTAATTCACCACACCTTAATTCACCACACCTCAACTCACCACAACTAAATTCACCACACCTAAGCTCGCCACACCTTTTAAGCCCACCACACCTGAATTCATTACGCCGTAACTCCCACACCCAATTCCGCCACACCGCAACTCACCACACCCAATTTCACCACTTGACATGATATCACTTGATGTGGCATCAATGACAACATCATTTGCCATAAAGTGAACCAAAATAAACCGGATTTTTAATCTTATATAATGAAATATAAAATAATAGCGGCGTTCATACAAATTGATAAACTTCCGATAAGATTAAGATTCATGTAAGGAAGAAGGTAAAGTTGAAGGCAAAGATTAGAATAAAAGTAAAGAAACCTAAATATAAAAGCAAAGAGGAAGGAAAATTTAACTACCTAACCTAATAACAATGGTGGGGGTGACTACGTAAATGAATATATTGATCAGCATAAAGGAAAAGATAAAGATGAAGACGAAGGTGAATATGAAGATGAAGATGAAGATGAAGATGAAGATGAAGATGAAGATGAAGATGAAGATGAAGATGAAGATGAAGATGAAGATGAAGATGAAGATGAAGATGAAGATGAAGATGAAGATGAAGATGAAGATGAAGATGAAGATGAAGATGAAGATGAAGATGAAGATGAAGATGAAGATGAAGATGACTTATGGTACAAAACTCTTAAAAATTGATCTAGGCTTAACACGTGATTCGAACCGACGATCCCACTGAAAGAAATCTGATGAGGAAATGTGGTGATTTCCGAAATAGCTATCATTTTTTAAATTATTGTTGCTTTTCCACAATAAGATTTTCATTAAAAACGGCCTCAAGCTCAATAAAAATTTTTGAATATAATTGTTATAGGGCCATAAAATAACAAAAACAAATAACTTAAGGACGAGCGCACCTAAGAGTTAAACATTCTAATAATAGAAATATTAACAAAAACCAATAAAACTAACAACCACATGATCAAGTTTAAACAGCACTGGAATAGCTGCGCTTGATTGTAGTTGGTTTAACAAATGAAATAGTGGGATAAAGCAACAAGAATTCACAAGGTGAACTTAGCACTTAGCTGCGCTTAATTGTAGTTGGTTTAACAAATGAAATAGTGGAAAAAAGCAACAAGAATTCACAAGGTGAACTTAGCACAGTGCGTAGGCAACTGGCTGAGTCAGTGGGATCGTCGGTTCGAATCCTACTGAAAGAAGTCTGATGAGGAAATTTGGTGATTTTCGAAATAGCTATCACTTCTGCCATTTTTTCAAATTATTGTTGCTTTTGCACAATAAGTTTTTCATCAAAAACGGCCTCAAGCTCAATAAAAATTGTTCGAACCGACGATCCCACTGAAAGAAGTCTGATGAGGAAATGTGGTGATTTCCGAAATAGCTATCACTGCTACCATTTTTTAAATTATTGTTGCTTTTCCACAATAAGTTTTTCATTAAAAACTGTCTCAAGCTCAATAAAAATTGTTGAATATAATTGTTAAAAGGCCATAAAATAACAAATCCAAATAATTTAAGGACGAGCACACCTAAAAGTTAAACATTCTAATAATAGAAATATTAACAAAAACCAACAAAACTAACAACCACATGATCAAGTTAAAATAGCACTGGAATAGCTGCGCTTGATTGCAGTTGGTTTAACGAATGAAATAGTGGTAACAAGCAACAAGAATTCACAAGGTGAACTTAGCACAGTACGTAGGCAACTGGCTGAGTCAGTGGGATCGTCGGTTCGAATCCTACTGAAAGAAGTCTGATGAGGAAATGTGGTGATTTCCGAAATAGCTATCACTTCTACCATTTTTTCAAATTATTGTTGCTTTTCCACAATGAGCTTTCCATTAAAAACGGCCTCAAGCTCAATAAAAATTGTTGAATTGAACATTAATTAATTTATCGTTTTACTAGATGGGGAGTAAATGTAAGATATTTTTACTGTATGCTTTCATACTTGTTATAGTTAGTCCGGGCAAGATTGTTTGAACTTCTTAGAAAATCAAGGTTTAGGATTATGGTTGGAACAATCTGGTGAATCAATTCACAGAGAATTTCTCAAATTTTGGGAAAGATATAAAATTAATGTTATTGAAAATCCGACTTACTTGGTGAGATAAAAAAAGCAGTGGTTGAGTTCTCATCTAAGCACATTTAAAAAATATAGAAATACAAAAAAATACAAAAATAAAGAAAATTAAACAAAAATATATATAAATAGCAAAATACAAATAAAAGCAATGGGTCCAGTTCATCATCACGTAAGAATTTGTTAATGTTTCTGCATTTCGTTCATTTGCGTGTGTGAGAAGGTATTTCTGCGAATACTGGGCTGCTTACTATTTAAGCAAAGTATTTAACTAAATACTAACATTACATTTTTCTCAATTGTGACTATTTTTCATGTTATTATTATCTAAACAGTTGAATTGAAGCTGTATGAAATAATCTT